CCCTCTCTCCACCAGAGCTGGCCTTTTATTTTGGAAAAGGAAAGAGATAAAAAGAGAAGAGACAGAAAGCAAACTTTGTCTACACACAGGTCATCTGGTTCTTTCTCTTGGGAGAGATTTCTCTCAAGGTTGGAGGGAGTAATCGGTTATCTTGCAGCAGAGATACTTGGTTCCAAACATATTCAACACAGCAGTAAAAAGTCTTGACACAGACTATGAAAAGGTCAAACACCTCTAAATGAATATTACATTAGTCTATATAGTAATATATTATAAATGTAAAAATGATAACACAAAAATCCTAACAATTGTCGTGACGAGGGGTTGAGGTGGTGAGGATGAAAGCAGGCGGACCCAGGAGATAGGTGAAAAATGATGAATTTAATGATATTAATCCAAGTATGGAACAACGGGGAACAGCACGGAGGAGCAACTGACGGCACGAGGGAACCGGTAACAAATGACAAGGATCCAACAAGAGACAAAGACAACAGGTGGGTTTAAATACACACGGGTAATCAAGGGAATGAGACACACCTGGGAAACAATCAACAGGGAAGACGCCGAGACAGAGACACAGGGAGCAAACTGAAGACAAAAAACTCTAAAAATAAATACACAGAAACATGACAACAATATGCTAAGCAAAAATGTGTTGTAGTACAATGTTTTTTCCTGCTTACTTTTTTCCAGGTTCCAGGTCAGATTGGAAAATTTTCTCTATTTACTGTTTGAGCAACAGTAAATAGAGAAAATGTTCCAATTTACTTTGCATTTCAGTAACACTTTATTTGAAGGGGGGTGAATAAGACTACACAACATTCTAATCTTCATAAACTTGTCAGAGCCCATTTTACATACAATGTACTTGGTGTGGCAGAGCAATATGCTTCTATTTTGGATAAAACCCATCCACTGCCCTACATAAATATTAAATTAGCTGCTTAAAGAATCTTTCAATTATATTTTTCCCAAAAAAGTGAGTTAAATATTAACAAACATCAGAAATTTTCCCAAGAATTACATGTTTTTAGAGTAAACAGATTTATATATTCTGACTCACCTGCTATTGTGCTGTGTATTCCTTGTAAAACCAGGAGAAAATAAATTATGCTCATTTTGCCATTTTATTTCTAAATTCTTATAACAAGTTGAAAAGATCTGTCCTCCTCTTCCCTTCTAAAGAGAGTCTGGCAAAAAAACAGGAAGAGTTGGAAATATGAATTTCCCCTTTCAAAGGAACTTCTTTGAAGTTCTATCCATATTTTATATGCAATTATGCATGTTACAGATATTAAGGTAATATCCAATTCTAAAAATAGGAATATAAAAATTAATTTATAAAAATTTATAAAAAAAGAAACAGTGGGAAAGAAAAAATTGTAGCTTGTGGGAACCAAAACAATACTGGCATCATTTTTTTTTCTTGTCTCAACATCATCTAGCAGTTATTAATTGGTAACACTTTTATTTGAAGGGGGTTGAATAAGACTGTCATGACACTGTCATAAACATGACATAACACCTGTCATGAACATCAATAAGTCTTCATGAATATTTATGACTGTTGTCATAAAGTCTCATTTCCTAAATCATGACACTTTTAATACAAAGTTGACATTATTCAAAATGTCTTTGTTATGACAACTTGACATTAACCAAGAAATAATGATCTAACATAAATTTGTCATAATACTAGTCATAATGATTTAATTATTACACTAGCAAAAGCTTTAACAAAACAATGATTAATATTTCCACTCCCTGAAATTAAGCAAAACAAGAAGGACAAGCAATAAAGATTTCACTAAGCTTTATTACACGGTCAAATGATTTAATAACAGACTCATTAACAATTTCTTTTACATCAACTAAAGTGGAACAAGTAGCACCAGTTATGAATATGTCATTAAGTGTCATTACAGTGTCATTAATATTAACTTTTACCTCAAGTAAATTGAAACTAGTAGCAACAATTATAAAGATGTAATTTAGTATTACAGTGTCAAATGCAATGCTAACAGAGTTATTGATATTAAGTCTTACCTCAAATGAAGTGAAACACACTGGACTACTTATAACTACCATCATAACTGTAGAACAAACCCTTTGTACATTGGAATAAAACAAAAGATAACTTGTTCTAAGATAACAGAGGGTTTAACGTCTGGTCAGTATATTGTTACTCTGAAATGCTGATTGAAAAACTAAAACAGAATTACTTATTCTTTAACTTAAGAAAATAGGTTCTTTCAACAGTAACATTTTTTGCTTTGATTATGTCAGCCATCTCCTTCGTAATAGTCTTCCTGTAATGCTCTGAAAACAGGAGATCTTCTTCTTGTCTTCATTTCCTGGAAGCAGCTCTTTGCACACTGGTTGTGTAGTTTGTGGAAGGTTGCTTAAGTGTGGGTACGCAGATTCGGCTGGTGCCCTGGTAATTCCTGGTTCTCCAGTGGAGGCTGAGGTTGTGGAGGGTTGTTACCTGGAGAAGCTGGTGGGAGCGAGCCCCAGGAAGAGTTCCCTTTTCTTTGTGAAGGGCAGGGCGCCCTGGAATGGGGTTCGCCCTGATAGAGGGGCTCGTGCCCTGGAAAGCGTTGCAGTTCTGGCGGGGTCTGGTGAGCTCTCATTGGCCCTTGAGAAGGTGTGAACCTCGCGCCAGTACCCATATGCGCAGCAGGTCTGCAAAATCAGACCTGTTATTGCTCAATCTCGCGTGGCTGAACGCCACTTGTCCCTCTAAGAAGTTGGACGCCGACCGCACGGGGGCCGCGTAACTAGTTAGCATGCCGGAGTCTCGTTCGTTATCGGAATTAACCAGACAAATCGCTCCACCAACTAAGAACGGCCATGCACCACCACCCACAGAATCGAGAAAGAGCATCTGAATACTTTCCATACCCACTGTACATATCTCTATTTTCTAAAGTGGCAACAGAATATTTTCAACAGATCTTGCAGAGATATTTGCTCTGCTAAGATGAATCATAAATCTAACATTTATGATTAATTTTTAAATAATTTTATTGATTTCAAAAACAATCAGCAATTATTCAGTATTTTCAGAACTCAAATAGGTCACAGTATGAAACTGAACAAATAAACAAAAAGAAGCAAAAGAAGCTCCAAGTCTAATTCAAGATTTTATTCCTATATATAGGTATATTCATTTATTTATAGGTATATTCATTTATTATATGTATTCATTTATTTTAATATGAAATACATATTATATAAAAAAAAATTAACACCCCAAAAAAGCCATTAAGTCAAAAGATCAACTGTTGGAAAATGAAAACAAATAGAAAAACTTAGTGAATTAACAACCATTTCCCACAAACTCATGTTGCAGACTGTATGTTTTATTATGTTTTTAAACCTTAAAGTTTTAGTTTGAAATGTCTGCTGAGTCAACAGGAAAACAGCATCAAGTCCATCCTGACATTACTATGGCAAAAATATTTTTTTATTCTTAGATCTTGATTGGATTTTACTATAAATCAAAAAGCAAAAGAGATTAACCTATTCTCAAAACCTCATACAGAAATAATATTTGAAACAACATAAAACAACTAATTGAATATGTAGATCTGCTGCTTTAACGAAATCGAGGGAAAAGGCTGACTTTGGTGCCTTTAGATATTGGTGTTCAAAGTCTTCGTTTGGTAGTTTTCTTTTTGCTGTTGAGACAGTTAAAAGGGCAGAAATGTTATTTATACAAGTTTTCCATGTACCTATGTCATACACTGCTTGCATCATGCTAGCCTGGCCATCATCTTCCTGTGCTAATCTGCATATTAGATATGTTTTAGAATTGTAGTTTTTGCCTGCAGATTTATCAATGGTAGCAGAGGAAAGTAATGAATCCATTCAGTCCATGTTGGCCACACTTATTTGGCCACAAATAATTAACATCAAAATCCACCTTTTTACAGTGGAGTACGGTTGTTTACAGCCCAGCCAATTACCAGTAAGCTTCTTAGTGTTGAACTGGTGCATTACAGGCATTACGGCCAAATATTAGTGATTGGGAAACATTTAAAACTTGAACAGAGTCCACACCTCCAGTAAGCAATCGCTTCTCAGTAGCCGAGAGCCCAGACTGCATGGACAAAGCAATGCATAGTGCAGGAAACTGGTTGTTTACCAGGCTAGCATCATGCATACAAGGCACTGAAACAGAGGCCAGCTATAAGACTGAAGTTACCTTGTTAACATTGGTTCATGTGATGTGGCACTTCCTTGGCTATTGCCTGATTTGTCACTATATAAAGATGACGTTGGAGATTTGGCATCTTGAGCATCTAGAAAATAAAAATGTAAAATGTAAATTTTCATTTTCAGTAACAAAATACATTTCTTTTGATGCAACTACAGTATTATGCCAGGTTCACACTGTTATAATAGGTCCTCTCACAATCAATTAGAACAAAATTTTAGAGGTGAAAGAAAATCTCTTGTCCTGAGCTTTAATTGATGGTCTGTGGTTCCTCAGGGCAGCAAATGGAGAGAAGTCAACCAAAGACTGCCTTAAGAATATCAAAAAGTTGCAAAATTTTTCAGTGAAAATCAGGCAGTGTGTTCCTATGCATATCTGATACTTTTCCTCTTTTGTCCAATTATACATACTTACTGTCTTCCTTTATTTCCCCTCCTCTCCTAATTTTCTGCTTTTAACTTTAGTAACAAGATTGTAAACAACAGCCTAAAACTGTGTTGTAGCTGATGAATTGTGTATGTATAAAATTTTTTACTTTTATTAAGAAAAAGAGAAAGTGAGCGTGGGATGAAGTTGAGTTGGGCAGGAGGATGATGTGCATGTGTGGGGAGGGGGGGAGAGGCATGAGGTGGAGAGAAAGGGGAAGAACTCTGCCCCTGATTTGTTGCAACAGGGTGGTATGGAGAAAATTTATTTTGCAGTTCGTTCTTAAAGCTACACTTGAGTTTTGTAAGCATTATCTGCATTCCTGGAATACAACCTGTTGTGGTCTGTCTGCCTGCATGTATCTCCACTAAACCTGTCACACACTTCACCACCGCTTGTCCCGAGTAACCCACTAGGCAGCAACTCAGGGTATGCTAATTGACTGACTTTTGTACTTTTATGAGAATGAACTGAAGTTAATCTCTGGTGATATCCAGTAATGAATAGCCTGTACAGCTTGAATGTTTGATGCTTTAGACTGAAATTAATATTTACATCTTCCACTACAGAATAAATGTTATCTCATCATATTTACCACTCTTCTCTCAAATTTTGGTTCCCAAATAAACAAAATTACTGATTGTCTGCACCAAATACCACAACTAAAATAAAAAAGGATGAAATTCATGTGTACTGAATAAAATAAAGCTGTCATTCTTTAAGTTTTCTGAAGTTTTTTCATTACTTAATTTTTTTTATGGACCTAAGTCAAGCCACTTTTAGAGCAAGAAGTCTTACTTGGACTCAACCTATTCTATTCAAAACATACATCGTTTTGCCTTAGATTAGATCTATATATCATTTGCCTAAATAATATATAGATATATAAATATTAAAGTTTAAATCAGGTCTATTTCTATTTAAAGGTCAACAAAATACCAAAAAAGGAAGGCAAAGTAGCAGACTCTCACCTTTACACTTCTTGCGAAGAAAGAATACAACCCAACCAATAAAAATCACACTGATGACACCAAGGGCAACCAAAGCTCCAACAGCAATCTCCACGTAGCCGGTGTTTGCTGTTGAAGACAAACCAGGTCACACTCATGTAGATTCAGAGGTTTTTTCTTATATTTTTTCTCAGTTTGTCTAAACACCTTGACTAGTTTTAACTTTGTTCCTTTTGCTTTTTTCTGGTTTCTGTGCTTCAATGCATTTTATTTCAGCTACTATAATCATGAATGGCTAATTCAATAATATTGCAAAAAATCCAGAAAATCATGTTATGGCACAGGTTTATATACTGATTGCAGAAACAGAAAGCTTCTGATTCTAAGCCCTAAAACTGAATGTTGATTGAAAAACACAAGCAAGGCAGACAGAACATTTTAATCAGCAAGTATTTACCAATAAGTAAAACTGGCATTTTATACAGTTACTTACATTTATTGGTCAATATTCTTCTTTTTTCAGGTCTATGGATGACGTCTGCATTGACTCCAGAGAGCTGAAACACACATTCGTACTTGGGCCAGTCTTCAGGTGGAACAGATGACAGATTGATATAAACGCTCATCTGGAAGGTCCCATCATTGTTGGGGAGGATCTCTCCTTTATCCACACCATCATGAATCTCCTTTCCATCTTTCCTCCAGAACATTTCAGCTCTGTTGGGGTAGAAACCTGTAGCGAGGCAACTGACCACAGAGGAGGGCGACTTCTGGAGGAAAGAAACTGAAGGAAGATCTGGAGAATATTTAAAGCAAACATTTTTAGTTTTTTTATAATTATAAATTACAATTGTTTGTAACTAATTTATACAAATTACAGAAAAAGGTTAATTAGTTTATTTCTTAATGAGGTCATCTAATGTGGAAAGGAAAAGATAATGACTGCCAGAACAATGCAATAAAAACAGGTTAAAAAAGGCCAAAAGTTGCATGGAAACTGTGATAGTGATTTTTATTCAATACAAATTTCACACAAAATTTGTGAATATTAAAACTATGTAAAACTTTGTAATACCTGTTCTCATCATGGAGCTCCTCCCATAGTTCACATATTTCTGCAGCCACTCAGCACATGTCTGAGTTAAGTAGGACTTCTCAAGTTCTAAAGCATTTCTATCATGATCCCACTTTTGTATGGTGATGTCAGCTTGTGGTTTTGGAGCGATCCATTGATGTGTCCATGGGTCCAGTATGATCAAATCCTCTCCATCATAACCTATCTGATCATAACCTCTGACCTCTCCAGTCTCATCATCCCACTCACAGCCATACATCTGCTGGAAGACGTGAACTCCTGAGACACAGAGACAGAGTTTAATCAGCATCAGAATGTTAAAAACACAATCCATTAGTTCCTCCCAAAAAAGATGATTTTAGTGTAATAGACTATCGAAAACAAACAGAATCATTTGAACAAATAAAGTTTGTATTTATGTCAGCTGAAAAACATGGACAGTTTACCATGTGTTCATAAGTTTCAATGAGACAACCGCAACAAATAATGAAACACTTTGATTTGTGTTTCAAATATTTAATTATATAGGTTTTTATATATGAATATAAATGAAAACAGTTTTCTAAGATCTAGACTTCATTTTACAGAGTAACATACAGCAAGACTATTCACTGGGCTGAAATGTACTGGATTAGAAACAAGTAAATAACTTTATATGCACAAGAACTAACGATGTGTAAAATAATCACTGACACCACTGTGTGTAAAAAACTGCATCGGAAATTTGACAATAAGCAATGTTTGAAAAATATGTATTATGTGCGAAGTAAAATATGAACAAACCTCCAGTGTGGTTGAAGCGTTGCTTTGCAATGTTAATGTTTTTTTTGAAGATTTTCTGTTTTTCCCGACATGTCAGAGTTTCCTCCTCCCAGTAATTTGGATGTTCTGAACTCACATTATTCATCCAATCCTGTTTAGGAATGTTTTTGTTGATGTTGCTGTCACAGTAACTTATCTGAACATCATTCACAAATCCAACAGACACGTATGATGGGAAGCTTGGTACTCCTGAAGATGCTGTGTAGAAATACTTCAGAGAGTGGGTCACTGTAAGAAAAAGCACATTTCTGAATATTGTATAATTACTATATTATCACTCATACCTAATATAGACCCATGGTATCAGGTTCCATCAGGTAACATTTGAGAAAATATAGAACATACACCTAGTTTTTGATATTTTGATTATTTATCGGCCTAAAAATGCATCTTTTTAACCCCTCAACTGTCGCCCTCAAAACACTTACATGTAAGTCAGCGGGTCCATGACGACACCTGTATGATCATGACAGATAAGAGGCTTTAAACTAACTAATCTAGCAGCAACATGAGCTCACTAAAAATGTATCTAACTTTTCAAAATGTTTAATATCTGCTAAATAGTGATTAGTTTAGTTTCAATATACTTTTCATTTCCAGATATTAGGAGTCTTAATACTTATTAGGATTCAGACCAGAATCACAGAATTTACCAAATAAAACAATTTTCCATAATTTACACTGAATCAACAGTAAACCTTTCTATATGTGTAAGCCAGATTTCACCCCTGAAAACAACCTGTTGAAGTGTCTCTCTTGAGTCTTTGTTGAACATAATTTTTTATGCTTACAAGGAAATAGAAGCTGGGCATGGAGACATCGATACCATTTTATTATTTAAACAGCAAATGAATCAAGCAGCACAGAATACCTTAACTCTGATTCAGATAAACTGCTTCAATAACGGATGGCTAAAATAATCAAGTTGAAACCAACTTTATGTTGTGGGTCTCAGTTTTTCATGTGTAAGTCTAATAAAGGTTAAACTAATGTCAGAATCCTTCCAGGACAACAAGCTAGCAACATGTTTCACAATATGTAATAAATATTCACACAAACAATCCCATAAACCTCTACACACAGATATGTTCTGATATGTGCTTTGATGCTAAATATTCATCTGCTACAGGTTCTGAACAAAACATTGATCCAATTCTGGTAGTCTATCAGCTTTTTAGTTTTTAAAAATCCCCAGTTGTAGTACTTGTATGGTAAGTTTTCTTAATTATTATAATACAATTGTCTTGTTCGTCACTAGACTAACATCAAAACGCATGCACCAAAGTTTTATGGTACATTGAACACCTGTCTGCATCCTGCAGCAGGTCTGCCAAGGTGGAAGTCTGTGTAAGAGTATCAGAAGTGCAGAAGGAGCAAATAAAACAGAAATACTACAGAAAATATTAGAATATCTGTCTCCACTGACTCAAACATGACTTTGAGTCAAAAACATTTGATTCAAACATGAGTCAAACATGTTTCGACTCATCTTTGAGCTTTTAGATGTTATTGTTGCTGTTTTGTGTTTGCAGGGATTTTACGTTGCACTTGTTTAACTTAATCATTACAGAATGCAGCAGTCCATAAATTATTTCACTTGGCATATTCACTTGGTATATTATGTACTAATATCATCTTGTCTAAAGTTGACAAGTGAGTGCAGGCTAGATGTGAAAAATAATCACAGAAAACTTTTTTTTATGTACAGGGTAGCCTACATATGATGAGCCAATGACAAGTATAGTATGTTTTTCTTAAAAGACACTGAATAATCAGTTTGTTTGGTTATCCAAAGAGAAAAGAGTAGGGCAGGAAAAAAGTGAGAAAAAAGTCAGCAGGAAGACTCTGCGCTTTGAAAAATTGCATGTAAACTAAGTGAATATTAAAGAATATATAAAAACGATTAATTATTCTTCGTTACATTGAGTGCTTTATTTTATTTTGGCTGAGAAAGTTCCAAAGACAATGGCAGAAGAAACGCTATTATAGAAGAAGTAAATATTAAACAATAAGCATCAAGGTTTGTGGATGCAAACAGGTTTCAGTATTTTAACAAACTCTATCCAGAATATTTATTGAACTGTGGTGTAAACCTGATAGACACACAAACGCCCATTTTACGCGTGGCCTTACCCATAGGTAGCAATACTGCTATAAATTGCTGCCATTTTTGGTATAAGGAACTCAGATATACAATGTCAAATAATAATGATATAATTTCACATAGCGACACATAAAATGAAGTCTTAATAGGCCATCCATTTGGTTATTTTTAGAGAATTATCTTCTAAGTTAGTAAGTAAAATGTTTTGCACTCTGGACTTAATACCATAAACTGTACACAAAGTTGTTATAATTACACTCATTTTTAAAGCCGTACATTTTCTAACTCACCTGTTAAAGCCGCTGGTATCCCAGATAGAAGCAGAAAGATTAAGGTCGTCATTTCGCCAATCTCGCTTTACATGTTTAGATTCTGTCTGAAGCTTCTCGAGTCTTCTTCCGTGTGAGAGACTCNTTATATTCAGAATCTAAAAAATCATAAACTTCTTCACAGTAAATGAATGAAACATCCCAAATTGACTTAAAGCAATGCTTTTACTAGTTCATCAGTTCAATATACTACTTTATATATCAAAAACCATATTTTGACAAAATAAACGTGTTCAATTCAAAAACATTTTTGCTGCTAGATTACTGAATAAACAGATGAGGTCAATAATAAAGATATTTATTGTTCTTAATTTGGCTTTTCAACTATCAGTTTGATGCAAAATGATATACCAAAAGTCATTATCCATAAATTAAATGTGTTCCAATGAAACTCATTTGTTGGACGCCTTTTCAAAACGGACAACCTCTAAGCAGGTATTAATCAAACATTTCACTCACTCAGGTTACATTTCTGTATTAAATTGTTTTTCTCATTCATGTGATGTAATATTCAGATTTTAAATGTTTTTATTAGCTGTAAGTGGAAAATCATCATAATTAACAGAAATGAAGTCTGTCAAACATCCCTCTGTGCGTAATTGTTTCACTTAGTGGTAAAGTTTCTTAAATAAATAGATTTTTCTATCATATAATTTATTTATTGGGTTTTTTTCAGCTTCTAAGTATTGGACATAAAAATTAAGAGAGAAAGCACAGTCTCTGCATTCAGCCAGCAGGGGGCGACATGCGCGCCTGTCCTCTGTCTCCTCCTCCTGTCTCACCTCCTCTCTCTGACCAGAGGCTTGCCTTTGTGTTTGTCTCTACACCATGGGACTGTGGGTGTTTTGAGTGGAGACCAGAGCCGGAACTAATGGTTTTCATCCTGCACAGCAGCGCAGAAGAAGAAGAGCAGGAAGTCAGAGAAGTTTCAGGTGAGTGGAATCTCTCTGCGTCTGCATTCAAACTGCGGTTTTCCTGCTTTTGTCTGAGCAGAATGGGTCATTTCCAGCCTGGAGCGAGTCAGATGTGCTGCGTGTTTACTGGTCCATCAGGCAGGTCACTGAACTTGGTCGCAAGACTTTAAAGTTCAGCATAAAAAAGTTACTATTTTCTCCAATATCTCTCTAACACCCAGCGTTTGACTTCATGCTGAAGCAAATACAACTGCAAAGGTTTAAAAGTTGGTATAAAAGTTTCAAACTGCTTTTTACCTTCCAATTAACTTTCCCCTGTAAAGAGTTTATTGGAGAAATTAGCAAAAATGCAGTAAAAATTCAAAGCTAACCTTTTAATAAAAAGTTTCAGAAATTCTGGAGATCAAGACTCAGAACTCAAAAACATCCCAGAGTTTTTCATTTCTTCACTCTGCCGCTCCACAGAGCTGCGTACTTTAGGTCAGTGTTGCGCTATGAAACTAAACTTTTGTTTTCTTTGGACTGTCTTATACCTTCACTCCTCCTCTGGACTCTTACAACATCCCAGAAACAAAAAAACAAAGTTCTAGTCATAATTGTGCAAAAAAGACATTTAATCCATGTTTCCTTTTGAACAAGTTAAAAATCTGGATTTCTAAACACAAATGCTTCCATATGGATTATATCTAAAACAGCCATATTACTCTCACACAGTGACTGGTTTTTAATATTTTAATGATGTTTGGAGCTTACGGACATTAAAAGTCCAACAAGGGTAAAGATAATTTCCAGAATTTCTAAAATGGCCAAAATGTCTACAAATAAAAAGTTGAATCTGGAAAAACCTTTTAGCATCATCCAGAATTCTGATTTTTACAAAAAAATTAGAATTAGTACAATTATAAATTTGTGTTTTAATATTTGGAGAGCATGGCAACCCCAGTATTATCACCATTCTAGAAAAGAGGCAAGACGAACGCCAAAATAACTGAGACAATGTAAAATGAATTACATTGTCTCATTGTAATTCTTAGAAGACTTAGAAGTTAGATTCAGCTGAATCTGAATCTAACTTCAGATTCAGCTGAAGTTAGATTCAGCTGAATCTGAATCTAACTTCAGATTCAGCTGAAGTTAGATTCAGCTGAATCTAACTTCTAAGTCTGTAATTTCTGTAAACAAAGCATATTGTGTTGTATTTTTTTGTGGGTTTTTTTTGTTTAATATAGTAGTAAAAAATCCCCTCTAATCAAAGCCATTCTCTGCCCTGCTTGTTACTTTCACATGTTTGACCTTTCAATGAGCCAGATTCCAGGCTCTCCTGGATTTTTCCCATTCCGACTTATTCCTGCTGACACTGAGATGTTTTCCTGCAGAAACATGTCTGAAACCTGACTGCCTGTCATCCTCTGCCACTCTATGCACCTTTATTAGACTCTAACTTCCTCGATTTGCTCATTTTGAGCCTCTATGGAATCTGCTGAAGAGATTAGCTAAAGAGAAAAAACATTTGGCTCAAAGAGCTGCAGTTCCATCCTGTGATGGGGAAAGAGTCAGCAGAAAGGCATTTAAATAAGAAAAATAACTGAGCTTGTTGGTTTTTGGGTCATGAAGCTGATTAGTGTTTCTTTCAGGGTTTTTATGGCAGCTTTCTTCTGTTTTCCTGCTAAAGCTGCTTCTTTCTGGGACAGAACCGAAGTCTGCAGGTTTATGAAAAGTGATGTCATTTTGGTCGGGAATCAGCAGCTCCAGTTACAGAAAACTGACCCTGTGGGGAATGTTGAACTCTGCAGACGAACATGGAATCAGGCCGTCTGTCTGCAGGTTTTCTTCGGGTGTGTGGAGTCAAACGGGTCACTTTGTGTCTGGAGAATCATTTCTGCAAAGAGTTGCTCACATGTTTTGGATCATTATCCTTATAGAAAAAAACAATGATGATCTATTTTCAGTTTTCAGTAAGAGGTAGAAATATTTTTATCTGAAAATATTTGCCTCTTTTCAAAGAGCTTGTGACAAGGCTTCCAGGTAAAGAAACAGGCCCACAGCATCATGGATCCTCCACCATAATCACCAATACACTAGTGGTGGGCATTAATCATACATAGTTTATTACTTATGATCAATTGCTTTTATTTATGATAAATTTCTTTTCATGAGCAGTATTTCTGTTTGTGGTGCTATAAACAAGCAATCATAACCATACATTTACTTAAAAATGAATAAATAAATATGGCAAACTTCTAAAACTCCTAGCTACGATCAGTTTATCCTGGCTGTAATTTTTCCCTCCTGTAGAAATGTTGCTTCACTGTGAAGTTGGGTTTTGAATGTTGAGGGCCTTCAGCTACCAGCCAGTCTGTCTGTTTTCTCTTCTGTCAAGAGACGATTTTCATCTCCACCTTCTCTAGTCGTTCTTCTTTTGTTCCATGTAAATGTGAACTAGATCAGAGCTCAACCTCATTCAGAGATTCTGAAGCAGATTTAAAGAAAAGTTGTTGACAAAAAAGGATCCAAGCCTTTTTCTCAGCTGACCTTCAGTGTGGAAAGTTGTGTGGAGGGTGGTGCTGGTGCCTGACATAGTTTCCAACCATTATTTAGAGCAGAAGCGCCCTTATTGCATGAGCAGTGTGATTTGTAATGTGATTTATTTTCAGTTTGCTATTATAAGAGCCTGAAAGCTGTGATTAGAGGCTGGAGTTGGTTAGTGTGGTGTTTGATGGACAGAAGATGCACAAACAAATGTTGGAAAAGCCTCCTCTTGCATAAAACTGAGTGATCACATTCCTGAAGTTTTCTTTCTTCCCAGTTTAAGTAACAGCTTCAGCGGGGCTCAGCAAGAACCAGTGACCCACATTCTGCTCTGTTCACTGACCCTTTCAGAGTCCGGACCCCTGCCTGGATCTATTTGCTGTTTGCTGTGGATGCTCACACCCACAGCGTCATCTGGTTTGTTTCAGACCACTAACGGGACCCATGTGGGAGTTTTTTATCTGCTGCAGGTTTATGCAGCTGTTCTGACAGCAGCAGGGAGCCAGATGACCTCAGTATGAAAAACAAGCACCACTTCAGACTCTTCGCAGTTTAAACATGCATGTATTGGATGTAATTGAATGCCAATTGATGAATTGAACCACGAGGCAGGAGGGAGAGTCTGGTTGGTCGGTTTCAGAGTTTATACACACTTTGGTAAAAAAAAAAGTAGTGTTTTACAGACATTCAGGCACAGCTGGCTGATGAAACGCTTCACATTCCCAGCTGTGATGAACTTACCTGTTTTCAAAGCAAGACTCATTCCTGGAGAATGAAGGTTTAAGATGTTTCAATTGGACCAACAGATGCTGAAGGTTTGTGTGAGAATAGTGATTTTCTAGTGGTGGGACATGATTAAAATTTTTAAACAGGTTAATTTTAGGATCAATGATTAAATAGCCACAATTATTCGCATTTTATTGACAAAATAAGCAACATTTTACATAAAAACAAATTTCTGCTGCTAAATTATTTAATAAATACACATATGAGCTCAAAAACAAATATATTTATTGTTTCTAGTCAGACTGGTGCAAAGTTCTATTATTGTTTCAGGAAGCCCTGATCATTCATGGAGCCTCATTAGAAATGTGGACTGTGGATGTTGACATTAGCATTAGCAACATGTTTACCGTTGAGATGCTTTTATAGGCTTCAAAAGCTTTGCTGAGAGACTAACTCCTTTTAGTACAACCTGAACACATCACTAGTCTTTGCCAGTCTCAGATTGGTTTCTGAAGCACAAAATCCAGAGAGCAGCTTCGACCATCGACCATCGCGGATGTCGCTTGTGCATCAGATTTACAGGTGTACCAGAAACAAGCAAAAACAAAGGTTCCTTCCTGGAAATTTTGCAATTAATCTTACTAAAATGAATTAATCTTGCTAAAAATTTGAATGCGTTAAAATCAACATAATTAAACCAAGTCATTGACTTATAGCACTCACTCTTCCTGGACCAGGACCTGTCGTTGACTTTAGAGCAGTTCCTCATTCTGAGCATGTATGTAGCGACAGTGGAGAGGAAAATCTCCCCTTTAACAGGAAGAAACCTCCAGCAGAAGCAGAACCTTACTCTGTGTCTGCCATGACCGACTGGAGGTTTGAAAAGACAGAGCGGACACACAAGCCCTGATCTAGGAGTAATTTCTAT